ACAAAAGGTGAAAAACATTCTGGCATTTGCTGTGTATTTGCTGCATCAGACGTTCATTCACGCTTTGTTGTTTTCCATTCTATGGAAGGGGAACTAGTAAACGGAATAGTAGCAAATAAACTACCAAATGTATTAGATAGGCAACAAAGTATATATATATTATTGTATCCAACTAATAATCATAAATAATCAATTATATTACATTAATTTCAGTTGTGATATGACCTAATTATTGACATGTGATGTATGAGAGCCCTGATAGGATTTGTCATTTGCACAGCCCATTTATTGCATGACATTCCTGAGATTATATTGAACTGGTTGATGTTTTCAAAATAAGCATATTGTATTGGTTGAGGTTTTCAAAATAAACTTGGATACTATATATTTAATGTAATTTCAAAAGGCCTGATAATTATATAAATTGATACATTATTAATACATAGTCATGAAACTAATGTTCCAGACTACCTCATATTGTCTTTTGTATTAAATGTCACACCAATATTGTGTTTGATTGGTTTTGTGACCAACTTTTTATATGATTTGTATTCAAGACAAAGCACCTATCCTATGGATTGTTTTGAAGATGTCAACCAGTGATAGGTGATGTGATGTTTTGCTTTGTAAAGTAGCCGGTATTGATTGGACCCTCCAGCTGACACCAGTCCATTGGAGGATAATGAACACATTCTCAGCAGCATTTAGACATTTTTGTGTTTTTAGTACCAAATAGGCTCTGATATTGATCAACTCCTCAGAGACTTCTCTCATGGTTGGTCTCGCCTCTGTTTTAGTACAGAATATACAACATGTATATATATATACATTAACTTAGAGTCCGCTTAGCTTCAGATTTCAACACCATTTTTAAAGTCTTGATTGATCCCATGTAGCCTATGCACATCTCATGGTTATGACCCTCACCATGAGCCATCTAATAATCAATTTTCCTGACACACATCCACAGAAGTTGAATCCATTCTTAGTATTTAGTAGTTTATTAGGATCCCCATTAGCTAGAGCCAAAGCTGCAGCTACTCTTCCTGGGGTCCACACAAAACATAAAATATGACCTAATACATAACATTAATAGACAATTACAGCTGAAGAACAGACCTACATACAATTACATAATACAGTTGAAGTCGGAAGTTTACATACACTTAGGTTGGAGTCATTAAAGCTAGTTTTTCAACCACTCCACAAATGTCTTGTTAACAAACTATAGTTTGGCAAGTCGGTTAGGACATCTACTTTGTGCATGACACAAGTAATTTTTCCAACAATTGTTTACAGACAGATTATTTCACTTAGAATTCACTGTATCACAATTCCAGTGGGTCAGAAGTTTACATACACTAGGTTGACTATGCCTTTAAACAGCTTTGTAAAATTCCAGAAAATGATTTCATGGCTTTAGAAGCTTCTGATAGGCTAATTGACATCATTTGAGTCAATTGGAGGTGTACCTGTGGATGTATTTCAAGACCTACCTTCAAATTTAGTGCCTCTTTGCTTGACATCATGGGAAAATCAAAAGAAATCAGCCAAGACCTCAGAAAGAAAATTGTAGACCTCCACAAGTCTGGTTCATCCTTGGGAGCAATTTCCAAATGCCTGAAGGTACCACGTTCATATGTACAAACAATAGTACGCAAGTATAAACACCATGGGACCACGCAGCCGTCATACCGCTCAGGAAGGAGACGCGTTCTGTCTCCTAGAGATGAACGTACTTTGGTGCGACAAGTGCAAATCGATCACAGAATAACAGCAAAGGACCTTGTGAAGATGCTGGAGGAAACAGGTACAAAAGTATCTATATCCACAGTAAAACTAGTCTTATATCGACATAACCTGAAAGGCCACTCAGCAAGGAAGAAGCCACTGCTCCAAAACCGCCATAAAAAAGACAGACTACGGTCTGGAAGATCATACTTTTTAGAGAAATATTCTCTGGTCGGATGAAACAAAAATATAACTGTTTGGCCATAATGACCATCGTTATGTTTGGAGGAAAAGGGGGATGCTTGCAAGCTGAAGAACACCATCCCAACCGTGAAGCACAGGGGTGGCAGCATCATGCTGTGGGGGTGATTTGCTGCAGGAGGGACTGGTGTACTTCACAAAATAGATGGCATAATGAGGAAGGAAAATTATGTGGATATATTGAAGCAACATCTCAAGACATCAGTCAGGAAGTTAAAGCTTGGTCGCAAATGGGTCTTCCAAATGGACAATGACCCCAAGCATACTTCCAAAGTTGTAACAAAATGGCTTAAGGACAACAAAGTCAAGGTATTGGAGTGGCCATCACAAAGCCCTGACCTCAATCCTATAGAAAATGTGTGGGCAGAACTGAAAAAGCGTGTGTGAGCAAGGAGGCCTACAAACCTGACTCTGTTACACCAGCTCTGTCAGGAGGAATGGGCCAAAATTCACCAAACTTATTGTGGGAAGCTTGTGGAAGGCTATCCGAAACGTTTGACCCAAGTTAAACAATTTAAAGGCAATGCTACCAAATACTAACTGAGTGTATGTAAACTTCTGACCCACTGGGAATGTGATGAAACAAATAAAAGCTGAAATAAATAATTATCTCTACTATTATTCTGACATTTCACATTCTTAGAATAAAGTGGTGATCATAACTGACCTAAGACAGGGAATTTTTTACTAAGATTTAATGTCAGGAATTGTGAAAAACTGAGTTTAAATGTATTTGGCTAAGGTGTATGTAAACTTCCGATTTCAACTGTATATCAAGGATGCCACTTTGCATCGTGCAGAACAGAAGCATGGCCTGTAGTCACACCTAGAAGAAGAAGGATTATTGTTAATGTTTGTTGACCCTTAGCAGGCCCGAGACTCAACACTCAGAGGCCATAATGTGCTCTAATTTATCTGATGCTATCTGCTGTTTTCTAAGCGCCAATCCGTACGCAGAGTTGACTACCCTTTGATCTGGGCTTATGTAACACTGTCTTAGCTACGCCATTGGCAGGAATTCTATGTGTTGCTTCTGCTAGACTTGCAGATATTACTGGGCCAATTTGAAGGATTGACTAAATGTGCATATGGACTAGAGGTTTTGACCCAATTGCTGAAATTGTTTGTAGTTGCCAAAAAGTTACACTCTTGTTCCTCAGTGAGTAGACAGACAGCGGGGTGACTTTAATGAGTGTGCACACTAAGAATGTGTATGGGACTTCTGCTATTTGTGGCCAGTGTCATGTGATGCTGATAACATCATAATAACAGCGTTATTGGCCAAGAAAGTGGGTGGCAGTACTTTCATACCTTATTATTCAGATAAGACCGCATGAATGATGTCAACATTAGCTAAATTAATTAAATTGGGGACAGATCCAGCATTGGAGTATGAGTGATGTAAAAACATTGTGTGCCAAACCACAAATAAGCGCACGGTTGCAGTTTGTGGCGTTAACCTCTACCGGATCGGTGTCCCGTTTGAGGAGAGTGCTCTACAACAAAAAACATATCACAGCAACTGGTTTGATACATTCACCTCTGAAGGTAAATAATGTACTTACATTCAGTAATCTTGCTCTGATTTGTCATCCTAAGGGTCCCAGAGAAAAAACATAGCATTGTTTGATAAAATCCATTTTTATATTCAAATGTAGGAACTGGTTTCTACAGTTTGAACCCCTGCTGTCTCTGGCTCCACACCCACCCCGCCCGGCCATCTTGATGTGTGAAAGTTAGTGTGTATAAGCTAATGATCCATCATGCACTGGAGTGGCGCAGTGGCACTCCCGAGTGGCACAGTGGTCTAAGGCTGTGCCACTAGAGATGGTTCGAATCCAGGCTCTGTCGTAGCCGACCGCGACCGGGAAACCCATGGGGCGGCGCACAATTGGCCCAGCGTCGTCCAGGGTAGGGGAGGGAATGGCCGGCAGGGATGTAGCTCAGTTGGTAGAGCATGGCGTTTGCAACGCCAGGGTTGTGGGTTCGATTCCCACGGGGGGCCAGTATCAAAAATAAAAAAATAATGTATGCACTCACTAACTGTAAGTCGCTCTGGATAAGAGCGTCTGCTAAATTACTAAAATATAAATGTAATGCACGACATTCCTGGGAGTGTGTAAACTTATATTTTGTATTACCATATCATTTTTGTATGTTCTCTATAGTTATGTACTTGAAAATGTATCAATTGACGAATTCGGCACATTTGGGCAGACTTGATACAAAATAGTCCAGTATTGCAATGCTTCACTGGATCAATCTGAAACTGTGCACTCACTGCTGCCATCTAGTGTGCAAAATCTAAATTGCGCCTAAACTGCAATATTATATTGTGGCCTTTCTCTTGCATTTCAAAGATGATGAAAAAAATAAATAATAGAAATCGCATGTTTTTTTGTTTGTATTATCTTTTACCAGATCTAATGTGTTATATTCTCCTACATTAATTTCCACAAACTTCAAAGTGTTTCCTTTCAAATTGTATCAAGAATATACATATCCTTGCTTCAGGTCCTGAGCTACAGGCAGTTGGATTTGGGTATGTCATTTTAGGCGAAAATTGAAAAAAAGGGTCCGATCCTTAAGAGGTTAATGTGAGAGGGCCCACTTAGTGATTTGTCATTCAGTGTGTTGTGATGAGACACTGAGTCTGTTTTTAGGCATCACTGGAATTATGAATAATTTAAAGCCATAGCACCTATACTCCTGGTTATTGAATAATAAATACAGCAGATGAACACTGAGGGAGACTGCTATGAAAAGGAGGGCAAGGTGTGGTTTAAAGGCAGTCATTTATGCACGGGGACGCAATGTGTATCAGGTTTCTACCTAAAATGACACCTGAAATTGACTACTTATTAACAGTAAGGTGTATGGTCTGTGATTGTAGAAATACGGTAAGCTATAATATATATATACCAGTAAGTTAGATAGCCTATAAGAGGTTCACCTTTTAAACCTTTACATGCTGGCCATGCCCCTGTCAAAATCTACACTGAGAGAAAATGGAGGGCCACGCCACAACAGTCGAGGGACACATTTTTAGAAAGTTTAAACCTGATGTGTCAAGACATCAAGGCTACAGCTACCACAAAACACACAGCACCACAGAACACCATGTGGGCAGAAGAAGTGCAAGTAAGCAACAGAGGGGAAAAAGGAGAGAAAAAGAGAGGAGTAGAATGATATGCTACATTGTTACTATAATCTTCATCCAACCACAGTGAACAGTGGGGCTAAGGTTGAAAAGTCTGCAGTTGTACAAAGAGAATGTCTGGGTCCAACATCAAGCCTCAAAAGAAAGGACATCTCCGGACTATTCTATTCTATTCTATTGCAAACACAAAAGTCGAAAAAATGGTTTATGGAGAACCACTTTTTTTTTGTTTGGAGAAAGAATAGATAGATAGACAAACTAGATTGCGGATTGCAGTGTGTCTGGAGGGAGAGAAAGAAAGAGAGGTATAATCCCTCCTTTCCCAGGAAAGAAAGGAGAGGAGAGGAGAGTAGCAGGAAGACTAATAACACAGGAGGCAGACCCAGCTAGACTCTCTCTCTGCTGTTGCCAGTCTGATAAATAACACTTATCTTAAAGAGTCCCTGCTCAGGAAATAATACATTAGGAACACAGCGAGAGGACATAGTGTGAATAAATGTATCAGTAGTTGTAACGATCTGGTTTGGTCTGATTGTTTTGTTATTTTGTCAGGAACATTTTGTCAGTTGTTTGTGTAACAAGTCTATGTTAAAAGCCAAGATGCTGCCCACTCAGAATAGTTTATTTGAATTAAATGGATCTTAAAGAAGAGCCACACCCCAATCCCCTTACAGGGGCTGTCCTGAGACAGATTATGTTTGTGTACACAACGTGCGTGTGTGAATGCATGTAATCTTCGCTTCATTCAGAGCAGTCCCACTCCCAAATACCCCTTTTCCATAATCACATTGCAACAGCCTGAAAATCACAGAACCATTGTTTAAGTATTCTAAAAAACAGTAGTTGGAAAACAGCATCAGCAATGAAATGCAAAGTTTGTCATTTACTTAAATTATCTAAACAAACACACATGTTCTTGCTTTGTAGCCTCAACAATATTCACCCAAGGCCTTGGGTCCTATGAACTGTAATGATTCTGGAAGACACAGAGTGCACTCATGGGCACACTCTAGCCGGCTTTAACTCAGCCATGGGCTATTACTGTCCCCCCCCCCCCCTTTCTATTAATACTTTTAAGGCCTCACTAGGGGAAGTGGCTTGATAGAAGAGCCTATTTATGAGACACGTCTGAAGGAAAATGGTCGAAGTTCTGTGGTTTTAACTAGTCACCAACGTGTCAAAGGAGTTCCTCTCCCATTCCTGAGATATTATGCGCTCATTATTCTGTTGTGCTGCGATTCTAAGAGTGGACTCTGTTCACGTAGTCCAACCTTACCCCTAAAGGCTTTAGAATAGGGATTATCCTAGCAGCATGTGTTTGTGTGTGGACACTGTGAGTGGGTGTGTGTTTCCTTATATTTGTATAGTGAAACAGCAGACTATATATCGTCAGACATTGTTATTGCCTTCATTAGTCATATGCATTTGACTTATGTTTATGTCTATGTGTGTGTGCACGCGTCTGTGTTCATGTGTGTGCGTGTGTGTGTTTGACCATCCAGGGGCAGCCATGCTGACCACCTTAATGGACGGCCTCCTCTGCTGCCTGACGGGGAAGTCGGCCAACGTCGTGGTTCCCATAGAAACCTCGGAACCCGCTGACGGCTACGAGTTCGTGGAGGTCAAACCGGGTCGCGTCCTGAGGGTCCGACACGTCATCCCGGAGCGGGAGGTGGAGGAAGAGCCCAGCGGGCCGGGGGGAAGCGTCCACTGCAAGAGGAAGATCACAGTGTATCGTAACGGACAGCTACTGATAGAAAACCTGGGGGATGCGGTAAGACAGGAGCTGTTACATGCTCCGAACGGAGAAGCAGAACCCAACTGTACTGTAGAGGTAGAGCTCGGAGACCCACCTTCCAATCCAACTCCCAACCCTGACCCCAAAGTGGACAAGACCGGGTCAGTGGTTGGGACAGGGGGAAGTGGGGCAAGGGGAGCGGCAACAGCTCCAGCCCCGACCCTCGGATTAGCCCCAGATCTGACCCAGCAGCTCCGGAAGCGGCGGCGGAAGCCAAAGCGCACAGTGGTGATCGACAGCGAGAGGAAGATCACATCGTGTAAGGGGACACACGCAGACGTGGCACTGTTCTTCGTGCATGGCGTGGGCGGCTCACTGGACATCTGGGGCAGTCAGTTAGACTTCTTCTTCCGTCTGGGCTATGAGGTCATCGCGCCAGACCTGGCAGGTCACGGGGCAAGCTTGGCGCCCCAGATCGCGGCGGCATACACGTTTTACGCCCTGGCCGAGGACATGAGGGCCATCTTTAAGAGATACGCACGGAAAAGGAACATACTCATCGGACACTCCTATGGGTGAGTTAGACAGAAGTGTGTTAGTTACAGACACTACATATTGTATTTTTTGCATTTTGCTCTCCCAGACTCTCTCCATCTCTCTCCATCGCTCTCTCTCTCTCTTTCTACAGTGTGTCATTCTGTACGTTCCTGGCCCATGAGTACCCCGACCAGGTCCACAAGGTGGTGATGATAAACGGAGGAGGCCCAACAGCCCTGGAGCCCAGCCTTTGTTCCATCTTCAACCTCCCCACCTGCGTCCTGCACTGCCTCTCTCCCTGCCTCTCCTGGAGCTTTCTCAAGTAAGAGCGGGCGAGTGATAGAGAGAGAGTGTGTGTATGTGTGTGTGCGCCTTCCCTCCCATACAGACAAACTTCAGTACAAAGATCTTTCCGTCTATGTCGTTCAAGTATGATATCCTATGCTCCACTCACTCTCTCCTCTTCCTCTCCTCTGCCTCCCTCCCTCCCTCAGGGCTGGGTTTGCCCATCAGGGTGCGAAGGAGAAGCAGCTATTGAAAGACAACAACGCCTTCAACGTGTCCTCCTTCGTGCTGCGTGCCATGATGAGTGGCCAGTACTGGCCAGAGGGCGACGAGGTGTACCACGCAGAGATCACTGTGCCCATCCTGCTGGTGCACGGCATGTACGACAAGTTTGTGCCCGTGGAGGAGGATCAGCGAATGGCAGAGGTGAGAGGGAAACCTTAATGCCAACTGTAACCCTAACTTTAACCCTAACCCTATCTTTAAACCGAATCTAACCTCCCTGCCTCCTCTCAGATCTTGCTGCTGGCCTTCCTAAAGATAATCAACGAGGGCAGTCACATGGTGATGATGGAGTGTCCCGAGAGCGTCAACACCCTCCTGCACGAGTTCTTCCTCTGGGAGCCAGACTCCCCTCCTAAATCTAAACCACGACCTGAAATCACCGCCAAGAGACCCGAAACCGCCAAGACCCCCACTGCATCCAACGGGGGAGCAACTTCAGAAAGCCAAGCCAAGAATAAGTAACCCAGAGAAGGATGGATGTGTGTTATTGACTCCAATCAAAGCTTGCACACCCAGTGGAGTGTACTGTCTACCATGGCTGGTAGTGCTAGGAATGTCTCCTCAGGTGCAGGGAGCTGGTTTGAGTCAGTTTGAACTGGTCTGGGCTGGTTTTGCGCTGGTTTAAGATTGGGATTTGAGGAGGTGGAATACAGTACACCGGGACAGACGGGCCCATATTTGGTCTAAGTCTGAGCCACTGCACTACATCAGAGAGGAAGGACAGGAGGGACGGACAGATGGCGTCAATGAGGTTGACAGTGGCTGTCTATTGTATTGTTCTGACCTGTTCTGATTGAGTGACTGATCCCTGACTCTGCCTTGGGGTGGTGTGGGGCTGAAGAGGTGCTGAGTTGTAGAGGTGGACCTGGTAATGTTATTGATGTTGCGTGTGGTACAAGGACCCAAGTCTATACTTGGGTCCACCTCTAGTTGCACTATGGGTGGAAATGTCAAAACAAGGGTGGATCAGAGAGGGAAGAGAATGTATTGGAAGTGGTCAAGTCACACAGGAAAATAACTAGCCAAGAAGAACGCTTGTTATACTACTCAAGCCAAAGGTTATCCAATGTTTGTGACAAGCAAAACAGAAACACCAGAACTAACTTTTGTTTCCTGACAGTACTTTGAATATTTGAAACTTCACAACATTGTGACTGAAGTTGAATGAGACATTTTAAATGATGTTTGACAATCAATGCTTCTTTTTGTGAAGTAGCTGACTACAATTTATTTAAATGCATTATTCATACTGTATTTAAATGCCCTTCCCTGTCAGAATAATTCCAAAGGACAAGCAAGTTCTTGACATTGACAATGTTTTCCTTTATCTAAAGATACAGAGAAACAACTTGAGGGACAGGGGAAAGACCAATGTATGAATGTTTTACACAAAGTCTCCTTGTGTATTTTATGGGGAAACAAATCTGTTTCCTTTGGCTGCTGGTTAACTGGGAAGTTACAAACTGGTAGATCATGTGTGTTTTGGGCCCTTTTAAGAAGGAGAATTATACTTGATGTTTCTTCATATTCCTCACCAAAACTATGCTGAACAATGTTGATTGTTTATCTGTTTTCCAGGTAAAAGTGATATAAGCTATGAAAATGTTAATATTGGTACACCAAATATTTTAGTAAAATCTGAGAATTCTTCAATGCCACATAGCAAGCTCTCCGTCATGTAACTATACTGAACAAAAATATAAACGCAACATGTAAAGTGTTGGTCCCATGTTTCATGAGCTGAAATAAAAGATCCCAGAAATCTTCCATAGGCACAAAAAACGTATTTATCTCAAATTATGTGCACAAATTTGTGTACATCCCTGTTAGTAAGCATTTCTCCTTTGCCAAGATAATCCATTCACCTGACAGGTGTGGCATATCAAGAAGCTGATTAAACAGCATGATCATTACACAGGTGCACCTTGTGCTGTGGACAATAAAAGGCCACTCTAAAATGTGCAGTTTTGTCACACAACACAATGCCACAGGTGTCTCAAGTTCTGAGGGAGCGTGCAATTGGCATGCTGACTGCAGGACTGTCCACCAGAGCTGTTGTCAGATAATTTTATGTTCATTTCTCTACCATAAGCCGCCTCCAACGTCCTTTTAGAGAATTTGGCAGTACGCCCAACCGGCCTCACAACCGCAGACCAAGTGTAACTACGCCAGCCCAGGACCTCCATATCCGGCTTCTTCACCTGCGGGATCGTCTGAGACCAGCCACCCGGACAGCTGATGAAACTGTGGGTTATGCACAACCGAATAATTTCTGCACAAACTATCAGAAACCGCCTCAGGGAAGCTCATCTGCATGCTCGTCGTCCTCACCAGGGTCTTGACCTGACTGCAGTTCGGCGTCAGAACTGACTTCAGTGAGCAAATGCTCACCTTCGATGGCCACTGGCACGCTGGAGAAGTGTGCTCTTCACGGATAAATCCCGGTTTCAACTGTACCGGGCAGATGGCAGACAGCATGTATGGCGTCAGGTGGGTGAGAGGTTTGCTGATGTCAACGTTTTGAACAGAGTGCCCCATGGTGGCGGTGGGGTTATGGTATGTGCAGGCATAAGCTACGGACAGTGAACACAATTGCATTTTATCAAAAGCAATTTGAATGCACAGAGATAACGTGACGAGATACTGATAATGGCGCCGGATGGGATGGCCGCCGTTTTACGGGCTCCTAACCAATTATGCTATTTTGTGTATTTTTCCGCATTGTTTGTAACTTATTTTGTACATAATGTTGCTGCTACCGTCTCTTAGGACCGAAAAGAGCTTCTGGATATCAGAACAGTGATTACTCACCTCGAACTGGAAGAATATTTTTTCTTTAATGAGTCTGACGCGAAGGATATACTGTTTCTCCTGGACCAGGCCCAAATCCCTGTCATTCGCATGAAGAAAAGACGGAGATACAGGGGGCGCAGATCCGGGGGCCTTGTGAGAATTCATCGGCGAGTGGGTAACCCGCCACTACCATCCGTTCTATTGGCCAACGTGCAATCATTGGAGAATAAACTGGATGAGCTCCGTTCAAGACTATCCTACCAACAGGACATTAAAACTGTATTATCTTATGTTTCACGGAGTCGTGGCTGAACGACGACACAGATAATATACAGTTGTTGGTGGTTGTGTGTGTCTATTTGTCAATAACAGCTGGTGTGCAAATGTCCTCATGATAAGCTGTAGACCACACTATCTACCATCTATATTTTTCATAGCCATCTATTTACCACCACAAACCGATGCTGGCACTAAGACCGCACTCAACAAGCTATATAAGGCCATAAGCAAACAAGAAAATGCTCATCCAGAAGCGGTGCTCCTAGTGGCAGGGGACTTTAATGCATGCAAACTTAAATCCGTTTTACCTAATTTCTAGCAGCATGCAAAGTGTGCAAACAGAGGGAAAAAAACAATAGACCACCTTTACTCCACACACAGAGACACATACAAAGCTCTTCCTCGCCCTCCATTTAGCAAATCTGACCATAATTCCTGCTTACAAGCAAAAACTAAAGTACCAGTGACTCGCTCAATACGGAAGTGGTCAGATGACACGGATGCTACGCTACAGGACTGTTTTGCTAGCACAGACTGGAATATGTTCCAGGATTCATCCAAGGGTATTGAGGAGTATACCACCTCAGTCACCGGCTTCATCAATAAGTGCATCGACACGTACCTATCCCAACCAGAAGCCATGGATTACAGGCAACATCCACACCGAGCTAAAGGCTAGAGCTGCCGCTTTCAAGGAGCAGGACACTAATCCAGACGCTTACAAGAAATCCCGCTATGCCCTCAGACGAACCATCAAACAGGCAAAGCGTCAATACAGGACTAACATTGAATCCTACTACACCGGCTCTGACGCTCGTCGGATGTGGCAGGGCAACTGTGTAATCACGCTCTCCGTAGCTGATGTAAGCAAGACCTTTAAACAGGTCAACATTCACAAGGCCGCGGGGCCAGACGGATTACCAGGACGTGTACTCAGAGCATGCGCGGACCAACTGGCAAGTGTCTTCATTGACATTTTCAACCTCTCCCTGACCGAGTCTGTAATACCTACATGTTTCAAGCAGACCACCATAGTCCCTGTGCCCAAGAAAGCGAAGGTAACCTGCCTAAATGACTACCGCCCCGTAGCACTCACGTCGGTAGCCATGAAGTGCTTTGAAAGGCTGGTCATGGCTCACATCAACACCATCATCCCGGAAACCCTAGACCCACTCCAATTCGCATACCACCCCAACAGATCCACAGATGACACAATCTCAATCGCACTCCACACTGCCCTTTCCCACCTGGACAAAAGGAACACCTATGTGAGAATGCTGCTCATTGACTACAGCTCAGCGTTCAACACCATAGTTCCCACAAAGCTCATCACTAAGCTAAAGACCCTGGGACTAAACACCTCCCTCTGCAACTGGATCCAGGGCTTCCTGACGGGCCACACCCACACCCATGGTGTCCACATCACCAACAAACTATCATGGTCCAAACACACCAAGACAGTCATGAAGAGGGCACGACACCGCCTTTTCCCCTTCAGGTGACTGAAAAGATTTGGCATGGGTCCCCAAGTCATAGACTGTTCTCTCTGCTACCACACGGCAAGCGGTACTGGAGCGCCAAGTCTTGGTCAAAAAGGCTCCTTAACAGCTTCTACCCCCAAACCATAAGACTGCTGAACAATGAATAAAATGGCCACCTGGACTATTTGCATTGACCCCCTTTGTTTTTACACTGCTGCTACTCGCTGTTTATTATCTATGCATAGTCACTTTACCCCTACCTACAAATTACCTCGACTAACCTGTACCCCCACACATTGACTCTGTACCGGTACCCCCTGTTTGGGGGGGGGGGGGGGGGGGGTGTCCCAGTTCTTCAATGGCCTGCATACTCACCAGACATTTCACCCATTGAGCATGTTTGGGATGCTCTGGATCGATGTGTACAACAGCGTGTTCCAGTTTCCACCAATATCCAGCAACTTCGCACAACCATTAAAGAGGAGTGGGACAACATTCCATAGGCCACAATCAACAGCCTGATTAACTCAACCTGATCAACGAAGGAGATGTGTCGCGCTGCATGAGGCAAATGGTGGTCACATCAGATACTGAATGGTTTTCTGATCCACGCCCCTACATTTTTTAAAGGTATCTGTGACCAACAGATGCATATCTGTATTCCCAGTCATGTGAAATCCATAGATTAGGGCCTAATGAATTTATTTAAATTGACTGATTTCCTTATAAGAGCTGTAACTCAGTGAAATCTTTGAAATTGTTGCATGTTGCGTTTATATTTTTGTTCAGTGTACGATCCCTTGGTGGATGAACATGTCAGGAGAAGCCCTGTTTTGTGTCTGATAAGTGTCCTCATACAAAGACTGCATTGAATACCAGTAAATACAGTATAGCTTTACTCTCCAGCTA